AAAAAAAAAAAAAAAAAAAATCCTCTTGCCTCAGCTTCCCAAATGCTAGGATTACAGATGTGCCATCATGCAGTTGAGATTTTAATCAACTACACTTGAATAAATTTCATAATCCTGACACTGAGGAAAGAGTAGGGAGCTATAAAATTCAGAGAAATTAGCCTAGACAGAGCATACAAAAACCTATCTCTAAAACCTAAGACTTTACTTGGCATTTATTGATTAATTATAGATCAGAAAAAATAAAATAAAACCTAAGACTTGCCTGAATTATATTTTGCCTATTCAAATTGTTTTTCCTTCTCTAAAGCTGATCTATTTTTGATAAGGATTTGTCAATTTTATTCAATCTTTTGAAGAACCAATTCTTTTTGTTTGTTTGTTTTCCGGTACCGGAAATCGAACTCACGACCTTGCACTTGCCAGGCAGGTGCTGTGCCACTGAGCTAAATCCCCAGCCCCTTGAAGAACCAATTCTTTGTACTGTTCTCTCAGTGTTGGGTGCATTGATTTCTGCTCTGACCGTTACAATCTCCTCCCTCGCGGGAGCTCTGGGCTTGGCCTGCTCTTCTTTTTCTAGAAGTCTGAGGGTCACCATGAAGTTACTCGCGCCTGCCCTGTTTCCTGATAGGTACTCAGGGTATGAACTCCCTCAGGACTGCATCCATTGTGCCCCGTAAGCCCCAGCACGCTGTGCCGTCATTATCATTTAGCTGCAGAAGCTGTCCAATTTCTTCTTCGTAAAGCTGATCTAGTGACTCCAAGAAACTGTACTCTCACGTGTGGGGAAACACTCAGCCACTGCAGTGAATGACTTCGGCATCACATTAGGGTTGATAAACTTGGCAATCCTACTTGCTACATAGTAAGAGGAAACCAAACAGGAGGCAATGCAGAGGAATAAAGGTTCTGGAATCCAATTCTGTGGTTTGTTTTCCAGCCCTACTTAGTGGCTGTAAACTTTGGGGCAAGTTACTGAATACATGGGTACATTTGTTTCCTCATCTGTAAAATGGGGTAATAATCTTAAAACCATCTATAGCGTAAGGCTGTTTGCAAGGGTTAAACAAGATCATGACCAAGAATTTAAGTACTTTCTGGTTGTTGTTTTTTTTTGAGACAGGATCTCACTGTGTAGCCTAGGCTGGCCTCAAACTTACAGTGATCCCCCTGCCTCAGCCTCCCAAATGCTGGGATTATAGGTGTGTGCCACTGTGCCCACCTAGAATTTAAGTATTTAACATAAACTAAGTGCTCAGTAAATATTAAGCTCGCTGAACCTTAGCTTCCTCCACTAAAATGAACAAAAATGAACAAAAACACTATCCTCACAGAATAGCTATGGAGATTAAATAAAAGATGGATGCAGTGGAGTGCTAATAAGAATAGCTAATTATTGTTATTTAGTGGCCTAGTTCTTCTTTTCTTTTTTTTTTTGAGACAGGGTCTTGCTTTGTAGTGCAGGCTTGCCTTGAGCTCTCTATGTAACTCAGGCTGGCCTCAAACTTGCTGTGATTGTCCTGCCTCAGCCTCCTAAGTGCTGAGATTACAGGTGTGTGCTACCACGCCCGGCCAGTTTTTCTTTTATGTCCAGAAAGGATGAACTTAATATATATTAAAGTATATATCAGCTGGATGTGGTGGCTCACGCCTGTAATCCCAGCACTCAGGAGGCTGAGGCAGGAGGATCGTTGTGACTTTGAGGCCTGCCTGGGCTACAAAGTGAGCTGAAGGCCAGCCTGAACTGCATAGCAAGACCCTGTCTCAAAAATGACAAAAAAAAAAA